AGAAAATAGAGCTTCTTTTTGGCTAAGTTCTGTTTGTATTGTTGCAAATTAAAGGATGAGGGGCTTTTGGTAATTTTGTAGGTTTTGAGAATTTTTAGGAAGAAAACTACAGAGGTCATGTTTTATGAAACTTGGAAAATGTGTAGTATCTTTCCTTTTGAGATCCATTGTGGAGAGACTTTTGACCAAATTAGTCAACTTGTCATTATTTTGTCTTTGTATGGTGAGGTTGATATTGTGGATGTATGAAACTTGAATGCAGCAGGTTCAGGTTGGAAGCACTTTGTACGCTAAAATAACAGGTTTATAATTCATTTATTAGCTTTTATTTAGTTATAAAACGAATCCTTGTTTCTTAGGTTGAAGATCATCATCCAAAGACAAAAAATTTTGCACGGTTGTAGGCCAAAACAAACGCCTTGCTCTTTCTCACCTAAATTTGCACCTAGGAATTTTAGGTTGAACATTTGAATCAAGACTACTCTTGGGGACGAATTATCAATCACCTACCATTTGTCAACACATCGAACATCATCACTCATTGTGATTAAGAGAAGAATCGAATAAATCTTATCATTGGGACAACTCAACAAAGCTCGACAGCAGAAATCGAACCGAGCTATATCACTTTTCAGTCGACCTTCATTGAAGAGCACCTAAGCGAAAAGGCACCAGACACACTCTTCGACAAGGCGTCGCGATTCTTGGGCAGTCAAAGAGTTGTTGGAGCGCTGTCGAAAGTTATTTCAAGAGCGCGTACCTCTATCAATAAAGATCACCCCGCCTCTTACGCAAGAGATACACGAAATTATATTCTCTCTCAAGTATTTTGACTAGATAGTTGAAGTGCTAACTCTATGTTCAAACTCCAAGCTCATACGTCCTTATCCAGAATCCTTCGGCGATGAGACTTTATCATTTTCTTGATCAAATAAATACCGAGCGATCAACAAAAGATTTCGCCCATACAAATTGGAACCTCATATGTTTTAACTTTTAAAAAACTTGTAATTTCTAAATCTCATATACTATTATTTGTTATATCGAGATATATATTAATTGGATTACGTAAGATAGATCCAATACATTCTTTAGATACAAAAGGAAAAAAAAAACATACATCAATTTCATATAGACTTCAATTTCAAAATTGTGACAAAATAAAGTGGCTAAATGAGATATGAAACCTAATACAAACCCACGCCCCGAAATTACTTATGTGTCTTAAACGTGCACAAGTGCCTTTCTGAGACCATAAGCTAGTTTCAAAATCACACTAAAACGTCTAGTCCCACCCCTCGAAAACTATAATATATATAATATGTTAGAAAAATATTAACTAAGAAATTAACTAGCCATACAAAACGTCTAGCCGGCTCAAATATGAATTCATTTTGCAAGGTAAAATTTGAGGCTGGCATAATCATGAATGAAATCTAACTTCCAACCCAGCTTATAGACAAAATGAAAAGTTTTGCAACATCGTAATAGATGCATATTGAAATATAGTTAGAAACCCTAATTTTACTACTACAATATGGTATATCAAACTGCACATGACATACATAAAGAACGAGTCACAACACCTCTCAAATCCATCAAACTCAATATAAGCAACACAAGTGCTCTCTATTTAGAGGTCTAAATATCAAACTAATGGAGTTAATGTCAAAGATAGAGATTAGGATAATATACACATTTGAAGTCCCTAAGGTTTGGAACTTCGAGGAATAATACCCTTGAAGTCTTGAATTCAAATTACAAAAGAACGCAATTCCATAAAGCAATTATGGATGGAGGAACAGTGTGCATACCTTGTCCATATAGGGTAAAAAAGCCAAAGGCGGCCAAGCTAGGTTGTCAATTAAATTGAGCATACTTTTCATTTTAGACAACCCATCCAAAGAAAAAGATGGGGACACGATGCATTTTTGGGAGCCATATATGTCATTTTTTAAGATGATACCAACAAAAGAAAAACAGAAGAATCTAGCCACCTAATAAAATGAGTTGTCCCAAAACAAAGCCACTTGAAATTCATGGCATTACACGTGACACTCGCACGCACTTTATATAACCCAACAAATCCAACCCCTTCCTTTGCAATATTGCATTCAAGTTTCAACAACAATGGCCGAAGTGTCACGTGACCAGCGCCACCCCCTCGGCCATGCCCCACCACAATCCTCCTCCGATCAACCACCCCGGGCCCACCGCCTCATCAAGGCTGCCACCGCCGCAGCCGGCGGCGCCTCCCTTCTCGTCCTCTCCGCCTTCATCGTCGCCGGCACCGTCATTGCGCTCGCCGTCGCCACCCCGCTCTTCGTCATATTCAGCCCGGTGCTCGTCCCTGCGCTGATCACGGTGTCGCTCATCGGTATGGGCTTCTTGGCCTCCGGTGGATTCGCCGTCGTTTCGCTCGCTGTCTTCTCCGGCCTCTACAGGTACCTCGCCGGAAAACGCCGGGACGGCGGCGGGGACTTGCCGGAGCAAGGCCGGTACAGGCTCGGCGGCAAGGGAAGAGAAGTCGAAACTTGATGATGATCCATGGTTGAAGAATAAAGAGGAGATCACAGCAATGGCCATTTCATATTTCAATTTTAATGTAATTTTAAGCGTCGTTGTTCCATAATGTTTCATCAATAAAATGTAATATATTCCTTTCAAATTAACAATAAAATGTAATCTTTTATGCTACGCTAAATTAATAAACTTTGTTTGTTCTTAACATAGTTCTTCTCTTAGATTTTCAATTTGTCTCTATAAATTTTTATGTTTTGGGCTTAAGTTTCAATTTGACATATATGGCTTTTCTAAACTTTTCTAAAATCATAGTACTAAATTGAAAATTAAAGAACAAATAAAGATGAAAATTATTATTCCAAATTATATAGAACAAAAATTTTAATATAACAATAAAAAGATTTGTAAATATGAATTGTTCATCAATTTAAGTTTTTAATATTTTGTACTAAAAAACAGTTTAATATTTTAAAACCATTTTTGCGGAGTTTGATAACGTGTTTTTTACAATTCAAAAACTACTTTAAAAAAATGATTTGAAGTTAGGGGATATTTAAGGCCTTTAAAAAAATATACCTATATTTTTTCACCACTTGGAATCCTTAACAAAATTTTAAAAACATTTTTAAAATTTGATTTTGATTTTTACATTGATTTTAAATTTTAAAAACACATGGTTTATAAGCTAAAATTTTTAACAAATGGTTTGCTTTTTTTTTTTTTTTTTGCTTCATACTTGTAATTTCAATAGTTTACTCTTCTTTTTAAAAAATGTGTTGAATTTAAATAGTTTTGGCTTTTGAAAGAAATCATATTTAGTATTTGACTTAAATGTCAAGTTAATGTCCTGGACCAAAAGGCTAAAAAAAATTGTAAAAAGTAAATAATCTATTGAAATTGATGAATTAATCAGATAACAATTTAATAAAATTTTAATTTTCCTCAATGGTAAAGGCGTCGAGGTCACAATCTAAACCCCCTTTGTCACCAAGTCCAAGAATGAGCCTTAATTGATGGGCTCTAATCCAAGCCAAAGGCCCAACTTTTCAAATGACCAAAACCATTATAAACTCAAGTCAAGTCCTAGAAATTTACATTTAATTGATAAATGTTAGATTGGAATAAATATAAGAAAAATGAAAAGAAATAAAAATAAAAAGGTTATAAAAAAAGTTTAGAAAAAATGAATTAAAAATAAATCATGATTCCGAAGATATTCCAAATGAAATTCAAAACGTGGGTTCCCTTTCTAAATCCAACAAAAGAATAACTGTTTGCTTCTTTTCCTTAATTCAATATTTCTTAGATCATCCATCAAAACTTCTGTACTTCTTTCCTTTTTCTTTATTCATTTTCCTGGAATTTATATGGGAATTTTTAAAAAATAATTAACACACTTTACAACTACTCTCCCAAGTGGGATTTCTACCACTTTTTGTTTAACATAACATTGAATATCAAGATTAATAAAATCATATTCATTACAACAGTTAAAAATTTTCAATATTACTTCATCAGTAAAAATGGGGTTGGTTAAAAAATTATTTAGAAATAGGAACAATACAAAATAAATTAATTAATTGAGATGTTGGGAAGATTTCGAGAGTTTGCAATCCCCACATATCCAAAAACTAAGTCTGCTATATAGTTCCTTTCAGCTACATTCCTATTTAAATTTTCTTTTATTAAACTGCTTTTTAATATTTATATATTCATATATTATTTTTAATTTTCTTTTTTATTATTAAATTATATTGATAATGTTGTCTTTTGAATTCTCAAATATTATGGTTATATTAAAAAATTGAGAGCATTAAGAAAAAGGTCTCGCAAACTCCATTTTTAAGTTTGTGATGAGATGTTTGCATCTATGATAACCCATTTGATTAGTAAGCAGAAGTTAATCGCCACCATCTAATTCCTTTTGAAACCTCTGTTTTCTAAATTCTTTTTAAATCAACTCCCATTTATCAAAGTCATTTTTTATCTTCATATTTATATTTAAAATTGGAGATTAAGCCAAAGATCTAAGCTACACCTAAAGCTAAAAACTTTATGGGTAAATAAAAACAAACGAGAAATTTTGATAAATATATTTATCATAAAAGATTAGAATTGTATAATATCATATTACTTCGCAATCCCTCTGCCACTTTATTTCACAATTTAGGGAATCAGTAAGAAGGAAGAATCATCATCAGAAAGGAAATTTTGTTCTCATCCACAGCATGGCTGTACTGTGTAGGAAGGTGTCCTAAGATTTTTCCTCATTTCATCACTTGATGAACTTTACAAGCAATAAGAAACGATATAATCACTACGAACAAACAGAAAAGGAAAAAAAACCAGATCTGATAGAAATCAGTAATTTAGAAGGAGATTTGAAATCCAAAATTTCAGAGGTAGTTTTTTAAGTGGGAAAGAGAATGGCAATACTCAGAAGGCAATGGAGATTATTAGGTTCGATTCTGCCAGCAGTCTCTCCTCAATGGATTTCAGAAGAGGGAGCTTTGTATCCTCATCGTAACATTCACTTTCCCGAAAGTGAAATATAAAACAGAAAACAAATGCAAGCAATCTGTATAGAACACTAAAAAACTTTTATGTATGTTTGAAAAATTAGAGAGATGGCTCAGTTTCGAGAGTAATCGACACGCAAGATTCCAAATGGAAACCTGCATTCCGGTCTGTTGAGCTTGATCTTTTCATGAATCATCAAAGCCATCGGATTAGAACCAAAAGATCAAATCAACAGCAAAAACGTGAGAAAACAGTGAAAGAAGTCAATCGATGGATCCAGAAAAAACTCGCAAACCAAAGGCAGTTTCTCAAACATAACAGAATAACGGAGCACATTAGAAACAAAAATTACTTCCTACGCGAAAAAGGAAAACAATTCGATGCATCAGAATCAGAGACGATTTCATACAGAGAGAGATAATCCAAATTCTTTTACAGGAATCATGAAACAACAATATCGAAAAAACCTCAGAAGAAGAAGCTTGCCGGCGCAAAAATTAACAATTGAGACTCAATCAAGAATGGGACGATAAACTTTGGGCGGCTTCGAGAGTTTAAATAGGGGGAAACAAAAACTGTCTACTGGAATTAGGGTTTTTGCGTTCGCCGCTCGACTTCTACGATTCAAATTGGGCCTCATCTTGGACGAAGTCCAATTGGATCTGGAGTAAGTTAGGCCCAAAACCTTTCAAAATTTTCACAAATAGACTATAGAGTATTCTTTCTTTTTTTTTTTTTTGGTTTGATCAACTATAG